TGCATTCATTGACCCACCCACTCATCCATTCACCCATCTACCTATCCATTCACTCATTCACCCACCCAACCATCCTTCAATCACTCATCCACCCACTTGTCTATCCATTCACTCACCACTCACTCATCCACCCATCCACCCAGCTATCCATTCGCTCATCCAAAACATGTTCACCGAAGACTTACATACCAGGTGCCAGGTTAAGTTCTCCAATGCCATCCTCCTCCCCCACCCTTACACACAGTAGCCAAATGGAGCAAGAAGACTGAGACAGGGCTAGTGGGGACAGTTCCCAGGCAGCCTACGGACAGCTCCACAACTGGCGTCCCTGTAGCAGATGGACAGGATGCTCTTCAGAACTGAAGCGGGTGAGGCTGAGGGGCCAGACGTTCAGGACCAGACCAGGTCTCCATCCAGACTCCATCACACACCAGTCATTTGACCTTCAACTTCTCAGGGAGTTTAATGGCCTGAAAAGACTGGATTCTGTGCCAATGCTCACATCCAAGGACGTGGTCTTCTTATTTCCACAGGGTAGCAGGGCATTGCCTATTTTACAGAGGATAAAACAGACTCCGAGGGGATTGCAGCGCCAGCACTAGGCAGAGGCAAGGGAGGCACCTGGTGCCATTAAGACTCAAAATCAGGTCTTCAGACATCAGCCCAGGGCTCACTCTGTGAGAGTTTGTTCATTCATTCAGCAAATGTGTAGTGAGTCCCTGTGACGTGCAAGGTTTTTGTGCCAGGTTCAGGGGTGTACCAGGTTTTTTTACCTGCCTTAGTTTCTCCAACATGCAGGCCACAAATGAAGATCTGGGTGACTCTGGACTGAGTCAGTATGCTCACTCTGGAAGCAGAAATGGTCACCAAAAGGGTCCGGTCCATCCTGGCCTCCTCTCCTTATCCTGGGCCGGCCCACCTACCTCTCCCAGCCCAGGAGGCTGACCTGGATATTTATTTGGTTATTAGATAACCAGGCCCAGGCACCATTTCTTTGATCAGACACCCCTGATAACCAGCAGAGGAAACAGACCGTTTTATAGCAAGATATGTGGGGCGATCTTATCACCTCCATGGTGTTTTTTTAACAGTGATGAGGAGGTAGACATCTGGAGGGGAGGGCATGATGAGTGGCCCTGATCTGACATGCCTTCCTACTAGCTTCCCCTGATTTGGATTTTGGGGGGAGGGGTGGGGTGGTAGAAAAGCAGGGTGGGAGACAAGCCATCTGTCTCCCCACAGCCCCTGTGCCTGTCTCCAGCAAGACCCTCCCTGTATCTTCCCCAAGCCCACCACACAAGCAGCCCTGACCACTGGGAGGCCGCCCCTTGCAGTTAACAGCCCAGAAAAACCCATCTCCAGAGCCAAAAGGCGATAATGTCCATGAACGTAGCCAGCACAGAGTCAAGCTTCTACCCAAACAACCTGATAATTGCTCCCATTTCCAGTGCGCTCAAGTGATTATTCTGTGTAAGAAAGAGGTCAGGTCAGTACTGAGCGTCCATTACCCTTCCCCAGCAAAATGCAGGGTCTGGACAACATAACTGGTTTTTTTTTGGCTAAAAATAAATATATGTTTGAAGCCAACAAATAAGTTTTAACTTCTGTCCCTTCCTTTGCTCTTGTTTGATTGCCTTGTGATTCGAGTACAGTCTTGTTCAAACACGACGCGTCCATATCCTTTGTTCTTTTATTTTTTTTGGAGTAACGTCTGCTCCGCCTTGGTGCACCTAGCTTACCTGCATTACACTGTTCCTTTCCCCGTGACATGAGGGGTGCCAGACACTTCAGTCTCCAGTGCCCTTCCCAGCTCCTCCTGTCCTCCACTGCACCATCATTAGGGTGGGTGAGGATGGGGTGGGTGCCAGACTCCCCTGTGCCTCTCAGTCGCCACAGCTGGGGTTCAGCTAAGACTTAGAAAAAATCCTTCAGAACCAGGCTTCCTTGATCACGCCTAAGCCTCTTCGAAGAGAGGCTGTTATTATCAAATGGGTCTTTTCTTTTCTTTTTTTCTTTTTCTTTTTGGCAATAGGATCTTGTGATGTTGCCAAGGCTGGTCTCGGATTCCTGGCCTCAAGCAATTTTTTTCTTTTTGGCTTCCCAAAGTGCTGGGATTACAGGTGTGAGCCACCACACTGGCTCAAATGGCCCTTTCCATCTGGAATTTTCCCATTCGGAGCAGAGCCGACAGCCCGGTTAGACGGACCACTCCATGGAGATGCACAGCATCATGGCCACAAATAGGGGCCCAGGAGTTCTGCCACCTTCCGGTTGTGTGGCCCAAACTCTCTGAAATCAGTTTCCCCGTTCTATAAAATGAGGCTAAGAGCAATTCCTACTGCTCATCAGATCGTGCAGATATAAAATACATGTGTAGGAGGCACTCAGCCCACCCCGCCCCGGCCCACGCTGCATTCTCAGTCATCAACAGTGATTCCTCTTCTCTACAAAAACGCCAATATCCCTCGTGATACACGAGCACCACGCTCTGTGGGCAAGCTCCTAGCGGCAATGTGACAAGTTCTGAACGTGCCGAGTTAAAGCCCCACTTGGAGCATCACGGAACGCCCCCCGCCCCACAACAAACCGTTAATGCCTGAAGCCTGGGACTGCGAGATACCCACATTCAGAAAGCCCAGACACAGCGGTCTCAAACAGCCATGGCCGGAGCAGCATGCAGTTTTGAAAGTACCCATAATTATAAATTTTGCAAATGTAAAGACACATAATTGCCACAAATAATCACAATTATGCAATTACGAATAATCACCCTGCACGGCTCCCCTCTTGCCCATAAAAGTGATCCCTTTCATGAGAACTTAAAACGTGGCATGTTGCCATTGTCTGCCAGGGAGAGCTGGGACCCATTTCAGCTTCTGCAAGGCCACCTCCAGTCTCATGCTGTTCTCAGTAATCCATAGAAACCAGGGGGGGAAAAAGTCATTTTCAGGAAGGAAATTGATCGTTTTCCTCACATTCCCCCTTGTGTAAGATCATGCTGTGCCTTCTCCCCACTCTTGGCTATTCCCCGTTGTCTCTAGAGGAGAGGGACGCTAAGGCCAGCCAGGGTCCCAGGCTGGGGGTCCCCAGGGGTGAGCTGAAGGGCTCAGGCTTCTGGTGAGGAGTCAGGTGGTAAGGTGGTATCCCTCGACTCCCTTTGGGATAACAAGCTCACACAAGTGGGACAGATGAGGCTATACAACCCCGGGGGAGGGGAGCGCAGTAGCCCAGACATGCACCCAGGCTTGGGACTGCCCCAGCTCCCCAGTCCTTCCCCAAGGAGACAATCCTTCTCTCCTTTCTCTGTGCCCTCTTTCTTATTCTCGCTCACTCTTTGCCACCCTCTTCCTCATTCTCTATTTTTCTCTGTCTCTTCTCCCCCTCCTTCCTTCTCTCTCTCTCTCCCTCGCCCTTTCTTTCCTTTTCTCCTCTTTCTTTCCATCCTTCTTTCTTTCCCTCTCTCTTGCTCCCCCCTTAAATTCTTTCTTTCCATCTCTCTCTCTCTGTCTGTTCTCTCCCTCTCTCCTTTCTTTCTTTCCTTTTCTCTTCTTTCCTTCCATCTTCTCTCCTCCCTCTTTTCTCTTTTTCCCTCTTTCTTTCCCTCTTTTTTCTCTCCCTCTCTCTCCTTTCTTTCGCTTATTTGTCTCTCTCTCCTTTCTTTCCTTTTCTCTCTTTCCATCTTTCTCTCGCTCTCTCAGTTCTCTCCTGTATCTCTCTCCTCCCTCTTTCCTCTCTTTTTTCCTCTTCTTTCTTTCCCTTTTCTTTCTCTCCCTCTCTCCTGTCTTTCTCTCCTTTTCTCCTCTTCTTTCCATCTTCATCTCTCTCTGTCTCTCTCCCCCTCCCTCCTTCTCTTCTTTTCTTCTTTCTTTTCATCTTTCTCTCCTCTCTCTGTTCTCCTTCTTTGTCTCTCTCTCCTCTTTCTGCCCTTTTCTTCTTCCCATCTTCCTTCCCTCTCTCTGTTCTCTCCCTCTCTGTCTCTCTCCCCCCTCTCTCCTCTCTTTCTTTCCTTTTCTTCTGTTTCTTTCCATCTTCTTTCTCCCTGTCTCTCCGCCCATGGCCACAAGAGGAAACGGACAAGAATGCCGCTGTGACCCGCACCTCAGCCTCCACCCTGCCGGCGGCTCCCCTCAGTTACCCAGAAGATCCAGGCAGGTGGAACCATCGGCTAAACGTCCCCATTCACGTGATTCTCTTTCTCTTCTTCATTCATAAATCCAGTAACTTGCCACCTTCTCCCTCCCAGGTGCCCTCACGCCTTTCCTGGAGGTCTGCCTGGCCCCAGCTGCCACCGAAGAGGGCCAGAGCCCGGGTGGGCCCTGGGGGACCGTTGGGGGCATGCTGTCTGTCCTCCTCGCAGCTGCCTTGCCTCAGAGCGGCCACCCTAAAATGACTCGCTCAGATGAGAATTGGGGGGGGCGGAGGAGGAGTTGGGGGGAGGAGGAAAACCGCCTGGTCGGCTCCACACTTCGCCTAGATGAACTTGGGTGGGGGGAGGGGTGGCGACCTAATTACGGAGCGGCCACGGCTTCTGGGCGCCCGGTTGGCCACTTTCACTGCGCTTCTGCGCTTGCTGGGATCCAAGTTGACACGACTTTTCCAAGAGTATCTGGAAGGTCTGAAGAGGAACTTCAGGGGTCCTGAGACCGGCGGGGCTTGGAGGAACTCCCGGCCCTCCCCCCTTGCCCTTCCAGGGAACTGCCCGGTTAGGGGTGCGCTGTGGCGCGAGGAGCGCATCGCTCCGGCTGGGCCGGGACAAGAGTTTGGAGGAGGCCTCCTCGCCCACTGCGGAGACTCTGGGGGAGGCAAGGGCCACGGGACAGAGGAGGGTCGGCCGGGGGTCTGCCTGCAGGAGGAGCCGCGCCGCAGGGCCGTGCGCGCCACGCCGGGGGCTGTCTCCACCTCTCCTGGCAAGTTGGACCTATGAG